TTTTTTTTTGCTGTACGTGGGCCTCTCACTGTTGTGGCCTCTCCCGTTGTGGAGCACAGGCTCCAGACGCGCTGGCTCAGCGGCCACGGCTCACGGGACCAGCCGCTCCGCGGCATGTGGGATCTTCCCAGACCGGGGCACGAGCCCATGTCCCCTGCATCGGCAGGCGGACTCTCAACCACTGCGCCACCAGGGAAGCCCTATATTTCTCTTTTTAAAATGCCATTCCCTTGATTTCAGGTGATCAAAGGAGTGCACGTCTCCTGCCCCTGATTAATCATTGTTAAAGCACTGAAATCCGACAGAGCTGGTGCTGAAAGTGACTTTCAAGTGGATGCAACACCCAGAATGTCCCTATCCATGCCGACTTTGGTGCCAAATTATGTCACTGGAGGAAGATATTCTCTCTCTGAAGCTTCCCCACAGTGTAGACTCAAAAACTAAGGGGACAACACTTTAGTGACTGGGAAGGGTAACTCAACTGGCTAAAGTGGACAGCCATCTCTCACCTAAGAAGGGACATTTAAATTACAGAACTCGAGCTTCCCTGGCGGCACAGTGGTTAAGAATCCACCTGCCAATGCAGGGGGCACGGGTTTGAGCCCTGGTCCGGGAAGATCCCACATGCCATGGAGCAACTAAGCCCGTGCGCCACAACTACTGAGCCTGTGCTCTAGAGCCCGTGAGCCACAACTACCGACCCTTTGTGCCACAACTACTGAAGCCCATGCACCACAACTACTGAAGCCCATACGCCATAACTACGGAAGCCTGTGAGCCTAGAGCCCGAGCTCTGCAACAGAGGCCACCGCAATGAGAAGCCCACGCACCACGATGAAGAGTATCCCCTGCTCACTGCAACTAGAGAAAGTCTGCACACAGCAACGAAGACCCAACGCAGTCAAAAATAAACAATAAATAAAATTAATTTATTTTTAAAAAAAAGAAAGAAAAAGCTTTACAAACAAATAAATAAATTACAGAAGTCCCATAGCAGGCTCCCTTTCTGAAACCAGGAGAAAACTTTACCTAGTTTCAGATTTCATCAATCTTGTTTCTAAAAACTTTCTGGACAATCTCACACCTTGCAGTAGACCCTAAATGCTGGCCTGAGGTTTGATTATGTTGGAAACCAGCACATAGGGTGACCCTACGGCAGAATCAGAGTTTTTAGAATTTTAAGGGAACTAAAAAGAGTTCCCCTTCATCTTACCTTGCTTACCAAAAAGCTTGATGCCAAAACAGAAACACCAGGGTGGTAATATTTTCCATTAATAGCAGTTTAATTTTAAAGCTCTCGGGGACATAATCTGATAATTCTCTAGAGTCAACATTTACTCCATGCCTACTCTGGGCTGAGTGATATATTAGGCACTTTACATCCAATTAATCTTTTACCAGTTCTGCAAGATGACACCATCTCTATTTTTATTGGGATAAATAAAGCTCAGAGAGGTCAAGTGACTTAGGCGAAGTCACCGGGCAATTAGGAGGCAGAGCTTGGATTTGAATCCAGATCTGACATAGCCCATGTCTACTACAACAAACTGCAAGAATAAACTGAAAGAATGCTAATGAGCAGTATTTTTTAAGAGGAAAGACTGCATTCGACAGTTAGTAGAAGCTTATTAGAATAAGACTGTGGATACACAATTTCCAATATATCAGAGATCAGAGTCGGTCCTCCTCAAATACATGCTAAAATATCTAGGTACAGTCTCTCACTTCAGTATGAAAAAGGACTCCAACAAAATTTAAACTGAGCTCTCTCAGATTAGCATGGGTTCATTTTATATCCCACTGCAGCTCTGAAGCTTAAAGCTCGGAGACACCAACATTAAAGGCAGGAAAGAGGGTTGGGCCTGCAAAGGCCCTTCAAAGTCACCAAGTTCGGTAACTCTGAAAATGTACTAGTGTCACGCACGGGCCGCTCTGGGATTCAAGTGAAAGCTCCCCCCCCCCCCCCCCACACAAAGCCCATACGTACAGTATTTTGCCTTCACCTTCATGGTCCTCAAATTAAGAACTCCTGACCAATCTCCTTTTACAGATGGGGAAACTGAAGCTCAGAGAGGTTAAGTGACTTGACCAAGATCACAGAGCCAACTCACAGCAGGGCTAGGACTTGAGCTCTAGCCTGCCAATTCCCAACCTGATACTCCCCACGGTGTCCATTCCAAACTCACTATCCAACTTTCTTGTTTTAAAACACAGCACATTTCTTCTTAAAATACCACTTCCTTCTTCATCTCTTTAATTAGTTCTTAGATTCCATTGTATTTCTGTCCCACTAATGACAAGATGGGGTCACGTGGACTACGTTTCCTGAGCAGTAATGAACAAGTGAGCTTTTTGCTAGAGGGAGATAGTGCGTAAAGACCTTTCACTGACATTGCTTTAAAATTAACCTCATCTGGGCTTCCCTGGTGGCGCAGTGGTTGAGAGTCCGCCTGCCGATGCAGCGGACGCGGGTTCGTGCCCCGGTCCGGGAGGATCCCACATGCCGCGGAGCGGCTGGGCCCGTGAGCCATGGCCGCTGAGCCTGCGCGTCCGGAGCCTGTGCTCCGCAACGGGAGAGGCCACAGCAGTGAGAGGCCCGCGTACCGCAAAAAAAAAAAAAAAAAATTAACCTCATCTAAGAACTGATGCAACTCTGACTGAAATAAGAATCCTGATATCCAGGCTCACGTTTGGCTTGAGCGGGGGAGGGGTGACTATCAGTCAGAGAAAGGAAGGATAGAGAATCTAAGATTTGGACAGTGTTACGTGGTTAGGGAGGAAAGTCCTCACCTTGGTTTTCTACCTTCCTTCTCCACTGCCCCGAGGCACCTAATGGAAGAACAGCCTGCAGGCTGCAAATGGGCTTTACGTGTGAAAGGAAGGAAGGAAGGAAGGGATGCTCTAGCAGCACAGACGCAGAACCAAGACAGCGCTGAGGGCAGCGGGGAGATTTCAGCTCAGCGACCCACGGAGGCGGGCGCCCCTCGCCCTGACAGGCTATACTTACTGTCACCGTCACTGAGATCCCTGTCCATCGTCGAGACGTCCAGCCAGGGAAGCGTCTGCCCTCCCAGTGGGCTCAGGCTGCTGGGATCTGAGGGACCACCCCAGGCCCCTCCCAGAACAGCAGGCCCATTGTTACCTGATCTGAATACAACAGAGGGAAACATCTGTGGGCAAGCACCGAGTCCATCAGAGTGGCTGCTCTGGCCCCCGTCTAAGGGTTCTTGGGGCTCCTCCTCACAAGACCCTCTACTTGCCGAGCTCGGCTGGCGCTCCTGATCACCTGCATCCTCACGCAGCCCTGAGAGATGGGCACTTTCATGGGACCCATCTTCCTGAGCTGGGATTCAGACTCTTGTCTGCTTGACTCTCAGGTCAGAGCTCTCGACCCCTGTGCCACCTGGCTCGTCTATAGGGAGGCAGGTTCCTGAGCGCTGGGCAGGCGGGCTGGGGGAGCGGGGTAGAGAATGATGTAAAATGGAATAACCGCAAGAAGGTTACCTCCCCAACGGCAAGGGGAGATGCAGGTGGGAGCTCTCAAGTCGTGAGTGTCAACCTCCTGGGCTCGATGGGGGAGAGTCGAGGCCAGGATGAAGAGGTGATGCTCCAAAGCTGCTCAGCACAGCATGGGCAGAGCCGGCTCCCAACCCAGGCTGCGTGGGCCGCTGATGTCACCACACCAGCCCAGCTCTCTGGGAGACATCTGTGGGTTTCTAAAGGCCTCTTCCTGAGCCTCCTGCATCAGGGCTCGAAACACCTGCAACCCCGACCCTTGCAAGACGACACAGGATCACCCCTCTCCTCTAGAGGAGTCTAAACCATGAACACCTGGACCTGGGTCACCTGCTGGTGGAGGCAGAGGGTCCTGAGCTGGCACCACCTGCACCGCATCCTTGGCAATGACGTTCACAGCCGGGCCTGGAGTTCTCTAGCCAGGACAGCCTCGCTCTGTAGGGCAAAGCATGTACCCTATGCCCTGCCTGCCCAGCCCAGCAATGCCCATGGGATGTGTCACAACGCCCAGAGTGAAGACTGGCTGTCGCCTTCACCTGGGGAGTGCTGTGACTGACGTGTGCATGGCCTGGCTTCAGTGGCCGCGCTGGGCACAGAGAGGGCTCCAAGGCGACCACAAAGTGCCCTCAGTCTCCCTCTGCTGCGCTCACCCTCATTCACCACCCGCGCTCAACAGAATGCTGTTGACAACCGTGAAAGCAGTAGTAATAGTTTGACAAACGCCTCTTAAATACAGTCAGATGCTTCAACGCCCACAAATAGGTTTTTATGGTTGATCGGAGCACTAAATTCCTTAAACTTGAGAGTTATATAAGTTTCATTACTGCATGTTCATGACAAAGACCGAGATCCTAATACAGACTTTAATACCTTTAGGCATTAAGCAATGATTTGAAGCCCTTCTAGAACTGTCCCCAGGGTAACAGGATTACCATGGATGTGTATGCCTGGGTGTGTATTTTACTCTAAACATAATATGTGTGTGTGTCTACGTCTGTGTCTGTGTCTGTGTGTATGTATATTTGAGCCTAAACACGGTAGATGATAGATAGATATATAGATACATACATGGATAGACAGACAAACTACCTGTGGCTTAACTAAAACAATATACCACTATTACATGTTAAGTACTTTTTAAGAAACAACATATGCGTGCCCAAAACCCTCCTCAGCATTTGAAAGAAACAATCATAGGAAATTATTAAATGGCAAATAGAAGCACCGAATGTTAAACAGAGCTGCGTACTAAGGGGTCCAGAAGCCTTGAGGCTGCAGAAATGCAGACAACCATGAGCTGTATCTTAGGAACCAGGGAGTGTTGATCAAAGGCAGTGAAAAGTCCCTTGCTGCACACTAGTTAGATCACATAGTAACAGGTTAATAAATGTCTCTTAAAATACATGGAAAATGAACAAACCAACTGCTAGACCTTTCTAATCTTGCTTAGGCATCAAGACAGGAATGCTGTCTGCAACTACAATGGCATGCGTGAGTGGCTCGGGCCAAACAATGTAACCATCACCACCTAGTATTCAGATGTCAGGAGAAACAAGCATCATTAATTCTAGGCTCCAGGCTAGCATGAAGCTAACACTGGTTCCCACTTCCTGCTAGTATCAGAGGGGCTTCGGGGAGGGGAAGAGAAGCATCAACTGCGTTCCAGACATTGTACATTCGTTCTGTATCCGTGCTATTGATATCAAGAAGGGGGCGCTTCGAGCTTTTCTTCCTGAACCGGTCCACAGTAGTCCATGGATGGGATCCATCATCACACCCTTCAGGTCTTACACATGGTTAAATACTCATGAGACATTTGTTGAATGAACAGAACTGTCTAAGAGCTAACTCTATCCATTTATTGCTGTCTGAGAATCTTGTTTGTTCTTGGAAATAAAGGCTATTTGATCTCACAGTTTGGTCTCTGAGTCCTGAGGGTACCTCATGGCTGTGGGAATCATGTTAGGGCAGTATAGGGCTTTAGAAGAGAAACCACAAATCACAGTGCCTGGCTGCAGCTGAATATGATGCTGAGAGAAATTCCTAGAGGTAGGGCTCAGCCAATACCTGCAAGTATTTACAGGGTTGTCATGAGGAGGTGAGTCTCAGGGCGCACATCCTACGAGCAGGCATGCTGGGAGCTGATCCAGGATGGGGGACCATTTCAACTTATCAGAGAGAAGATCTGTCTAGTGACAGATCCTTCCACTGGGTTGGGTCTCTCCAAAGAATATTAAAAAGCAGAAGCTTGCCGATAAAACCAAGTGGGCAGTAGTAGAATCCAACAGTTGACGACTTCAGAATCAATGTAAACTGGGTTCAAGATTCAAAGGTGGATGCTGCAGCACTACAGTCCCTTTTTGAAGCATCCCCAGAGGACAGTGGAAGGAAATCCTCCTGGTGGGGAAAATTCTGAACAGTGCACCTGGTTGTGCATTTTGCCTGAAGGAAGAAATGGCCACAGATAAGAGCCTATACCCCTGTTGTATAGCACAGGGAACTCCGCTTCACTTCGCTGTACAGTAGAAACTAACCCAACACTGTAAAACAACTATACCCCAATTAAAAAAAAGAAAGAGTCTATACCAACTTATAGGCTATGGAAAATGGTTTTGCTGGATGGTCAGGAACTTTGGAAGGAATATCGCTGGACCACTGATGACAAGGAGGTCTGGGAAACAGGTATACTGATAGAGTTCTCTGAATGGGCAAAGAATATGAAAACATTTGTATCTCATGTTAATGCTCATCAAAGGGTAACTTCAGCAGAGAAGGATTTCAATCATCCTTTAAAGTTGACGTGTGACCCACCCGTGGGGACCAGTCAGGCTCCCTCTGCAGCCACCTGTGCCATTGCCTAGTGGGTCACAGTGGAAGGGATGCAGGTCATGCATGGGCTCAGCAACATGGGCTTTCATTCACCAAGGCTGGCCTGGCTACTGCTGAGTGCCCAGTCAGCCAGGAGCAGAGACCAACACGGAGTCCCAATATGGTGACCAACCAGTTACCTGGTGGCAGGTTGATTACACTGAACAGCTTCCATCAGGTAGTGCTTTGTTCTCTGAAACAGACACTGTGAATATAAATGTGCCTCCCCTACACACCACACTTCCATCCTCTCCAGACTCTAGCAAAAAGAGCAGAGGCTGCATCCTCTAAGATGAAAGAAATCATCAGACGAGTCTGGATGAGAGACAGAGGTTTCTGGCAAGTAGGTCTCATGTTTAAGCCACCAGGAAGTTCACCAGATGCTCCTTCAACAGTTCAGGAAGTGCTTACTGTGTGACCAGCCCTGAGAGGTAAACCAGGTAATTCCTGCCCTTGAGGAACTCCTGGTATTAAGTGGGAGACAAATTCATAACCAGGTACTTAAAATTCAGAGGAGCAGACAAGACAAGCAGACATTGTACGGTAATACCAAGCAGTGGAATTGCTGGATTGTATGGTAATACTATGCTTAATGCTTTAAGGAACTGCCATGTGATTTTCCACAGCAACCGTAACATTCCCACCAACAGTGCACAAGGGTTCCAGTTTCTGCACATCCTCACCAACACTTGGTTTCTGTTTATACAGTACTTTACAGTTTACAAATTATTATTACCTCCACTTGACAGATACCTTTAAAAGGCTCAGAGATGTGACGTGACCTGCCCAGGATCACACAGTAAGGAGCCAGGCCGGAGCCTCCTAACTCCTGGTGCTACGTTGTCCCCCTGCCACACAGCTACATGTGAGCACTGGTTCCAAATCCAGTCTCACTCTTT